CCCCCCGGGGCGGCGGGGGGCCCCGGGCCGCAGCCGCTGGTCCCGAGCCCTGCCCTATTTTTCCTTCTGCTGGCAGATGAGTGTCGAGAGATGCCTGGATTTCAAGGCCATGAATGGGATGCGGGCGACAGGCAGGCAGGCAAAGAAGTCCACTTTGTTGCAGTGAATTGCTGTCAGTTCGAATTTTAGGCTTCAGTAAACATGAGGCTGTAAGGAACAGTTTAGTTTGGGAAGAACAATGCCCAAAAGTTTGCTGATGCACATAAATTTCAGTTATTAAAAAAAAAAAGAAAAGAAAAGAAAAGAAAGAAAGAAAGAAAAAGGAAAAAAAAAAAGGATGCAACTTCTGAATAAGGGCACATATTTCCTCTCCTTTTCATAGGAGCTGGGGGAGGGCCTTTTCTGTTTGTCAGCTTCTCCTCATATATTAAAGAGCTCATTGCCTGCATCTTTATCTTGTAAAATGTGTGTGACCTCTATAAGTGGTGTCCAAAGAAAAAAAACTTGCAATATCCCTCTTGAAAGGAAAATCCATGCCAGCTAATGGCTGGAATAAATAAGCAGGAAAGGAAGCGATATTTAGCTGTAATAGAAGGGTTCTTAGTTTGTTTTAACACTGCCATTACCTGCTGGAAACCAGCATTTATTTTTGTAATGCCCTGGTGCTTTGAGAAGGGTTTGTGAAAAAAAATAGAAGAAAAACTTGTTGTTTCTCAATTCCGGCAGAAATACAGCTCATGTCAGTCACCAAAGGATGCAATATATGTAAAACAAGTCATTTATCTCTAAGTTCAAACTTTCAGAGGGCTACAAAACTTCATTGCCACAGCTTTTTTATTCATGTGAGGAAAGCCACATTGGAATCGCTGAACTTGTTTCATTTACTCCTTTTTGATACAAGGTAGGGAGCTTATGTTCTGCTTTCTGCCACGCAGATAAATAACTTCAGCGAGTACACAAGAATACAGTAAAGGATGAAGGTGAAACTTCTGGGGGGAGAAACAAAGGCATTGGGAAAAAGCACCAAAAATCTGATTAGTGCGCAGGCTTTCCTTTGCGTGCTGCATCTGCAGTACTGTCCGCTTTCCAGTTTCGTGTTAATAATGTTTAGTTTTGCTTTGCATGAATGACTCGGCTGTAACGTTAATTTGATCTTTAAAATCCTTTGTTTGTCTCGGAGCGCAGAGCCGTTGAGAATGTGTTTTTCCGAGCGTTCTTGTTCTTGCTGGGAGGTCAGCTGCCTTTTTTTTTTTGAAGCACCTAAGTCTGTTTGCGGTAGAGGGTGGCGTATAGGGTTCTGTTATGGATACTAGAAGATTTTTCTCTTCTTTTTTTCATTCTCAACAAAGGGTACTTTGTTTCCTCGTCACAAATTCTTTTAAGTTTTATTATGGCTCCTTAGAATAGGCTCTTGAACTCCTAATCAGGTAGCGCTTCTTTCCCTCCTCCTCCTTCCCTCCTTTTCTCCTATTAAATGCCACAGAGTATGAGAAATAATCTGTTTAGTTCCAGATAAGGTAAATCAGTGCCCTTATAATCACACCATTAGACACGGTCCTTCAGGTAAACCGCTTCAGGAAATGAGCGATCAGAGCCCGAAGTGATGCTCGAGCTTTTCCAAGGACCGTGTTCCCATCAGCTGAAAGAAAAATCCCCAGCAGCGGGGCAGTGACAGCGACATCAATAACTGCTGGGGCTCTCTGCCCGGGGAAGGCAGGGCCTGGCAGGTCGGCGGCGCTCGGCTTCGGGGGGACCGTCCGTCATTAATTATTGCATTTCTATTGCCTGCGGTGAGAACAGCGACGCGTTACAAGAGCAAACTCTCGTCCTGGGAGTCGGATTTGGGCTGCAAGCTGCAGGACCGTTCGCCCGAGCTTCTTAACTGGTTGGTGAGCTTCCAGTGGATGATCTTGCAGCACAACATCATTTTATTTCCATGCGGTGACAACTAGGCGTCACAGCAAGGCTCGAAGCGATACCCTGCTAGGCTGACACGAAGGTCCAAGCCCGAAGATGACCGAAGGCTCCTAGATTGCTAAATCTTTCTGAAAATGTTACCCCGGTTTCTTTTTCTAACCACCTCGGCAGTAGTGACTGCTGAGGTCACCTCTTGAAAAATCCAAGTTCAACATTAAAGAATTTGGCCATATTCTGTAGTGCACAAAGTAAGGCGAGGTTAAAGTTTAATTAAGGATAATGTGGAAAACAGGAACAAGAGGTTTTTCTTTACGCTTTAGCGAGCGTACCAGCATCCACATTGATTGTTTCCATAGTCGCTGACTTTTATTTTTCCCTGTTCTAGTGCTGTTTAAGCAAGTGGTGAGTTTGTGCAGGAAGGACAGAAAAGGAAAGTAGAGAAGGAGACAAAAAAGCTGGCTGCATGATCATCTTATTTCTCTTTCTCCCCAAAATGTCAGTCCTGTGGGATCCCACGGGGAAACATCTGCTCGCTGCGACTGCCTTCAGCCTCACTCTTCTCACATCTCCCTTGGGAGAAGTTTTTGGGAAGCTCAGTTTTCTGACTTCTACATGGTGTGGGTAAAACCCTCTGTCCTCATGCTGAGATGGGTATCCCTGCTCCTACGCTGATTTGGCAGCGAGAGGAGTGAGGGTGGGAGCGAGACCTCCCCTCCCCTCCAGCTCCGCTGCTTCATCACCTTGTCCTGGAGTGGAGACAGCACTTCAGAAGGGCTGCAGCAACAAGTGAGAAATGGAAAAAAAAGTTATCTTTTTAAAGATGACTTTTTGGAAAAAGGGCCCGAAATGTCCCACTTCCCCCTTTTTCCCTCGGAAAAATGTACCGGCGAAGGCACTGTAATGTCAGCATGAAATAGACTTTTTAGGCAGTGTATTCTCTACAGTCCTCCATAAAGAATTGATTAAAAATATGTCGTAATAACACATTGATCACATTGCCTCGTTAAAGCAATGATGGTCTCTGAGCAGAGGTTTAGTGTTTTTTTTTCTGGGGATTAATGGCCAGAAGGGGCTGGATCTGCAGCTGATGATCACCATTAACCCCATCTGGTCAATAATCCTTGTTAATCCACTTTCATTGGGCAGAGAGTCTGCCCGGCCGAGTGGTTAGCACAGCACAGCGCACACACACCCCGCAGCTTCACCCCTGTTTCAGGGCAAATTAAAATGTACAGTTGAAAGGAAGGGACAAATCCAAGCCCAGCTCTCTAACCACGTGCTCCTACTAGTAGTTGCATCCCTAGTGGGGTCAGGCTGGTGATCCAACCAAAGCCGATGGTTACGTGGGAGAGGAAGAGCCAGCCCGGGGAGGGAGCAGAACGTGGGCACGGGCAAAACTGCGGGAGCTCAGAGTATTTTGCACTCCTCTAAAAAAAAAAAAAAAAGAAAATCTGTCTTTTGACTGCTTTGTGCTCTGTCCAGCTGGGAGGGAAACTGTGCTCTGGGTGAAAAGCGTGAGACCTGGGGCACTGTCATGTTGAGGGCGGTTCCGAGGCACAACACTCCCAGGCTGAGTAACTCAGGCCAACAACTCTATTTTTAACTGAATTATCAGTCGAACAATACTTCTCAAGAGCGTACACTTGTGCTTCTTTACATCCCTGTAGATCTCTGTCTCATTGCTTTACATGGGCTGGGTTTATCAGCAGGCTGGGGTGCAGCTTTTCAAGCCCCGAGCAAGGGGGACAGGTCTCCTGTGCTGTCGGCCTCGTTTGTTCTGCCAGGAGTCCTCTCCTCCCACGGGAAGACAATTTTCCTGTGTGGAAGGTCCAAGAAGGAGGAGAGGTGTTATTCTGGCAGGGTAGGTGCTCTAAGTGTTGCGGCCAAACCTGCCACGGTATCTTCACCTGCTCTTTGACCTCTTTTCAGCTTTGCTTCCTGAGGACTTGAGGAGCCTTCTGGAGGAGGCGAAGGAAATGAAGTGGCCCTTCGTGCCGGAGAAGTGGCAATACAAACAAGACGTCGGGCCAGAAGACAAAACAAACCTGCAAGATACGGTCAGCGCGAGGCTCCCCGATTTGCTGGTAGGAAGCTGGACATACCTGTTGTGTAAAACATCCTGCTGAGGTGCTCGCAGAGCCCGGGTAGGTTGTATCACCTGTGGGTCCATAAAGTTTCAAAAACCACTGAATTTGGAAAGAATCCGATTTAATTCAGTACTGCTCAGAAGCAATGAGGGTTACTCCTTTGAGCAGGGCTTGCACAATTCATCGCCTGCTTTTCTTTTTTTCAAGACAGGATCCCTTTGAGAACAAAAGCTGGCCAAGACCTAGGTAGGAAAGGCAAGAATTTAAGGTGACTTCTGTGGGTAAAGGATACTTGGCTGTGTAAGGAGCTGAAGGGTCCAAATGGTGCTTGGCAATCCTATCCTGGAAGGTGATGGGTGTGAGCTTAAAGCATAGAAAGCAGGAAGAGATGTGGATTGCTTTTTGCTTTTCTGATTTCCTCGGAGGTGTGTCAGATTGGACTTGTGGCAAACAGAGGATGCCCTTTTCGATGGTGAACATAGTATCGGGCTACTGAGTGGCCCTTGGGCAGGACAGACCCAGTAAAGATGAGGTTTGGGAGATTCTGGGAGGTTTTTTTGCTTCCCGGAATGCACATCTGAAGCCAGCACTGTCCCCTTCCTTGTGGGAAGGCGGTCCGGCCTGAAAATCTCAGGTTTGGGGCAGGGAGGACTGGCCTTGCTGCGAAACTGCTGTTAACTCCAAAGTTATCAGGAGATTTCACCTGCTTCCGAGAGAGCCCTGGGAGGCCAGCAAGTTTCGTTTGAGGACGGCGATTCCTCCAAATAGCCCCGAGCAACGAGAAGCTCAAAAAAGCCGACCACATCGCAGGGATCCTGGGCTGGCCCATTTTTTGGGGGGGGGGGAGCCGGCTGCTCCTTGGGTATTTATTTTCTTTTTCTCTTTGGTGTGTGTGGGCCTTAGACAGAAATTTATGGCAGAGGTTGACCCTCCTTTACAATCTCTAACTTGGGAGCGTTCGTCTGCTCTCTCCCAGGATAAGCACCTGCAGGAAACTCCCCGAGAGACCTGGCTAGATGGGAGATTAATGTGGCTGTAATAGAGGAGCCGCGTTTGCAGCATTATGCCCTCTCCCCAGGTAGACGCATCTTTGCTGAGATGATACCAATTATTTATTGCCGAAACATCTGTTGATAACTGCAGCTGCCCTTGTTAAACAAAGCCTATCGTGGGGTCACAGACTATAGGGACCTAAAATCCTACCGCATGCTAGTTTGAGACTATTCACCGACACCCCCTGAAGTCCGTTGGCTACCGTTGTCTTCAATGTTTCATCCTGCGGTTGAAAATACTTTGTGAAACGTTGCGCTGCCTTTCCCCACGCGCTTTGAAGCGTTATTTCATCTTCGTCGGTAATTTATATTCCAGCGCCATTGTACCATGGGAAAAAGGGAAAACCTTTTTTGTTTTCCATTTAATTGTAGATAGACTGACATTTTGACCTGTATTATTAGTATTAGTCAGGAAAAGGGATTTTTTTTTTCCCCTTTCACCCATTCCTTCCCCCCGCTCTGTTGTTTTTTTTTTTTAATAAAATTTCAAGGCAGCGCAAAGGCTGCTTCAGTTCTTTGAATAAAAAGCTGGGGGAAAAATGAGGCTCAAGAGAAAGTGATTACAGTGTGATGAGGAAAGATAAAAGTCTGAGCAACTTTTTTCTTCTTTTATTTTTTCTTTTTTTGGCATGAGTGACAGAAGGATAATTTAATTCCCTGGAGGAAAAAAAACCCAACCCCCTAAGTCCTTGGCGATTTATTGTTCGGAAAAAAGCTTTAAAATTTTTCATCTCTGTTTATTTTAATTTGCTATGCTACGAACAAGCTCATAAACCGTAATTCATTACATTTTAAAAGTGCTTTGAGATCCTTGAATGAAAGGAGCTTCATTACCATAACACACTGGTGGTGTTACGAGGAGGCAGAGCCGGCTACCGGCCGCTTACCACGAGGATGTTTTACTCCGTGAGTAGGCTACAAAGCTCCAGGAGACCAGCGCAGTGAGTAAAGCAGATTAAGCTTTGGCTTCAAGGGTTTCCCTTAATGGTGCCAGACCCGTTTGCTGGTGGCTCGCACGTCGAGAAGGCAAAGCCACCTGCACCTGCAGCCTCGTCGAGTGCTCTTCTCTCTTCTTTGCCTTTGCGGCGGGGCGCTCGTTGCTTTTTCAAGCCGGTTGAAGCAGTAGGAAGGCACAGCAAAACCAGCTCGATTCAACGGGAGAGAATTTGGGGGCAGATTTTGGCAGCGTACGCCGACTTTTTCTTTTTTGATTCTCCCCTCCTCTCCACTAAATTACCAAAATGCCATAGGAATTTTAAGGCAAGAGGTTTACTGTCATCCTTGCGCCAAGCCAGCGCTTCTGCTTTTACAATATCTTTACGTCTTACAGAAGGGTTTTTCTTTCTTGGTTTTTTATTATTTTTTACTTTTTACTTTGCATTGCTTGTTTCTCAAGCTTGTTTTCCTAGCAGGTTTTATGAGAGCCTCCCTGTCAGCTGCCATCGGCTAAAAAACCAAGCCCATCCTGCAGCTCCTTTGGTGAGAATCTGCACTAAGAGCGATAACCAACATCTGTAGCCAAAGGAAAAACTGAAAAGCACTGGGATTTGGAGGTTTTAACAAGTCAAACCAAAATCAGAATTGTAACAGCATCCTTGCAGACCGGTAGAGATAAGGAGAGGTGATTTCTTCTCTCTGTGGGCTGTGGGGTTCAGATTGGGGCTGCAGATCCAAAAGGGAAGCTTCCAGGGGATCCTTGTTAGCAGATCTTCGCTATCCCAAGGGATGGAAATTGCCTTTGGCTTGGTGATCAGCCAATAGAGGGCAACATGCCCATGGCCACGTGGGCTTTGGTCCCACAAACCCCATTGTGGGTTTCCTTCTCCACACACAGGTTGTTCCCTTGTGGGATGATTTGCGCCACGTTAATATTTTGAATTATTTTTGTTGCAAGACCAGAGGCTGTTTGCAAACCCGTTGTAGTGATGTGGGGCTTCGGTTTTACCGTACGTAGCAATAGTTCCTGCACCCAGGCTTGGGAAGTCAGCTGTGGACCAGGATCTCCTGGGGGTAGGTACAGTGCAAATAGAATTGGGAATATTGAAAAGAGTAGAAAATAAGGCCCCGCGGTCCTTGCCTGAGCTAATTACATGCTGACGGACTGCCATTAGGGAAACCATTCTGAGGGACGTGCCCTAACTACCCTTAGGTGTGTGTGTGGCACTTAAAGAGCAGGGAGCCTTTGAAAACGAACTAAAGAGGGGGCTGAGGATTTAGTTTTCTCCTCCTTCTAACCCTCAGTGTGGTAACAGGAGAATTAAAGCCCTAAATCGTAGCCCTGGGATCTTGGTTGTTCAGGCTGACCTTTTGCTACCTGTCTCATAAGAGCTCTTCTTGGGTGATCCGAGTCAAATGGAGAGTGACGTGAGGAAGAGCCGCTGAATTCAGGCCGAGAGGGCATCTAGGGGACCCCAGCCTCCCTGATGCTGTGCGATCCCTGACACTTTGTAAATGAGACCCCGTCTTCTGCTGCCCGTGTGAGAAAACTACAAGAGAATTTAATAAATAGATGGAAAGTCTGGTCCTGGGTACCTGTAATTCTCTTTGGTCACCCGTAGGATTTCCTCTTCTCAGATGCAGCTTCACAGAGTGTTTTCCTCCCTGGAAAAGATTATAAATGTTGTGTTACTGAGATTGCTATGGTGTGTTTTTCCCCAGATCAAGCTACTTCTCAAATGGTTTGACGCTTTGAGGACACAGATTTAGGAAAGAGATTCATGGATTTTGAGCTGATTATAATAGTCTTGATGCGGCTGTCTCTGGGGGCTTCTGTCACAGGTCCTTGGCTATTTTTAAGTATTAAAATATCCCCTTCAACATAGTAGTTGAGCACAGCTGGGCAAATCGGGGCCACAGAATGATTGTTGCACCTATTCTTGGTATTAATTAAGAACAGGAACTCCTGCAGATGACTGAGGTCCCCCGAAGCCCTGTTGCCTTCTCAGATCCAGGAGGCTTCCAGGAGCTCCCCCTTTAGTACTTTCTCAGCTGGTGAAGCACGATGTGGTCAGCTGTCCAAAAACCTGACCCGTTCTGGGGTGTTTTGAGCTGCTAATAATGGATCTAATGCTGCTCCTATTGACTATACACCCGACTCTCCGTTGACCTCAGGATGAATAACTGGAGCTAATTAACAGCTTAGAAGCTCGAGCTGTTAAACGGGGTTCTCCGCTGCTCTGAGTGGAGAGGAAAACGTCCACGAGCTTCTTATTCCTCATTTACTGTTTGATTTGACCATCGTATGCTCCAAACCTATTCTCCTGCCCATCACGGAGGTGGTGGGAGGCCTTAATTCCCAGTTGTTTGTCGAGTGGGTTCTGATTGCCAGCTGAAAGGCAGAGATGGATAGAGAAGTCTCGTGCTGTGACAGCAGCTTTGGTCTCTTGGAAAGACAGGCTTTGCTAATGGTGTGTGGGGGAAAAAGGGTGAAAGACTCGAGGCAGAGCCATTGGCGTTGTGGCCCTGTGTTTAATCTGACAGGGCATGTACGGAGTGGGAAAGAAAACCGGGCAATTTGTTAGGGTTCAGCGAAGTGCTAACTAGGAGCAGCTCTTGGGAGAGAGCTAAAGCACCTGAAAGTACGTGCCTCTGAAACTGCTGCCTCTTGCGCGGAATTAGAAATTCTTTCTTGACCGCTTTTGGTCTCGGTGGCTTTTTAAAAGATTTTAAACCTCCGCTGCAGTGACAAATGGAAGAAAGACTGAAACAGCCTGAGGTGAATGGAGATAAGCAAACACAGAAATCCAGAGTGTCTGCAAAACTGTGAGGACACTCTGAAAATGAAAGATTCCTGCCCCTGCTTTCTAATCTCGCTGCTCGCGGAGGCGTTTTTCCAAAGGGGATCCTCCCCGAGCCCGCAGGCTGGGGCTGGGGAGTTGCCTCCGGGATCTTTGCTTTATAAAGAGGGCAGAGAGAGTGGATTAAATCAATATTTCATTTATTTGGGCTTGTAATTCCTCTTCCATCAGCTGCCACCTAAAGATTTTTTCCCCTATTTTCTTCCCCTCCTCCTCGTCCTCATTTACTATGCACCAATAATTTCCCTTTGACGCTTTTCCTGCCAGTCCTTAGTGCCAGATGGTCCCGGTTCTGAGCTTCTCCCCTCTCTCGGGAGCGGCCCCCATTGTCAATGCAAAGGAGGCGTCGTGGCTTTGAACCCAAAGCTGGGACCCAAACTTCGGCCCCTGCGTGAGGAGGAGCTGAACTGCTAATGCAAGAAACCATGCAAACAGCACACCCTCCCACTCGTCGCAATTAAGGGAGGGGAGGAATCAAAAAAAAAACAACCAACCTTTCACTAAAGGCTGTTTTGCACTTTTCCCCAATGGTCCGTGTATAGAAATCCGGCGCAAATTTAATTCTCCCACCACCTGATTCCACTTCCCGGCCGCGAGGTTCCCTTTGTGCCCCAAACTCAATTAGACGTAGGCATCGTGGGCGCAGATGCGAAAACAAAGTGCTGGCGTACCTCGCTTTTTCCCTGTCCCCCCTCCCTCTCTCTCTCTCCGCGTAGACGTCGGCTCGAAAACCCTAAAGAAAGTGAGTAAATCTGTTTAGGGCACCGACCCCCCACGCACAACCAAGTGTCCGGCTGCGACGGGCGACGACGACTTTTCGGATTGTTTGATTTTTTGGCGACACCTTGGAAGTTGACAGGGTTTCCCCGGGTCGGGGCAGGGTGAAGGCAACTCCCTCTCCCCGTTTCATGTCACGGGGAGGGCCCTCGTGCGTGGTTTGGGTGCGTGCCCGGAGCGCCGGTGCATTCGCTGGAAGGTGCTGAGGAATTTTTTCCAGCCACACGAGTTGGCAGGGAATGAAAGGAGCGGGTATTAATTTCTCGGTGTACTGCTCGGAACAAGGCGGGCGGGGGGGGACGGTAATTGCGAGGATTGACACGGGACCGTGTTTCTGTGTGCCACACAGCATGCAGCCCTGCCTTTTTTTTTAAAAAAAAAAAAGAAAAAAACATAGCCAAGTCTCTCTCCCTGTCTTGACTTTTCTACATTTTGTGTCCATTTGGGTTTGGAGAGGGACACAAGAGGTTTGGGCATTGAGGGGAGAGTTAAATTATGCAGCTGCAAGACTGCCAAGCCCTTCAGAATAGGATGCTTCGTTTAGATTTTCCACAATGCTATTGAAGTGCTTATTTTCCTCCTGAAGAGACACAAACAGATGCAAACTTCTGTAAACACTTTAGAAATGAATTCAGTGAGTTTGGCCTCTCAGCAGTGCTCAATAGCTGACAGAAAAATGTCTAATTAGTGCAAGTGGAAATAATAGGGCCACTTGGATTCCTTCCATCCTCCTCCAAGTCTACTTTTCCTAGGAACTCAAAGGCTCTTTTGTTCCGTAGGTCACCCTCTCTCAGGCTTTTGTGCTCCGATCTATTAAAAGAAGAAGGGGAGGAAAAAAAAAATAGATTAGGCGATGCTCTGTGCTTAAATATATGGCCTGCTGATGAGCATTTCGAATGGCTGGTTTGCAGTGTCAGTTTACAGGTGCTTGGAGAGGGGGATTCCTCCATTGTTGGCCGGCACAAGCAGAGTTGTGCGCGCTCGGGCTCCAGGAATCCTTTTCAAGTGCCGTCCTCTTAGAAAATGCAACTCGAGCTGAAGGGGGGGGAAAGAAAGTAAAAAAAAAAATTGTATAAATCCACCTCGCTAGCGAATAGTTGCAACAGATGCAGCTGGGCTTCGGGCCGCATTCTCTAGGCTCTTCTCCGAAAGGTTTGAAGTGGGCTTTCTCCTGCGTGCCTCAGAGGGTGGTTATACTGCTCAAAATCAAGAACCAGGCTCGCTGTCAGGTTGTGGGGCTCTGGGCTAAAAGCCAAGGGAACAGAAATGAGGCTGGGGAGGTGTCCGAGAAGCTTGAGCAGTGCCTAAAATTTGTGGGCTTTGCCATCTCTGGCTCTGAGTGTGCGTTTACACACGGAAGGCACGGGAAGGAGGCTGCTGCTAAGACCAAAATGGGAGATATCCACCACACTCGATGTTTTAGCGGGGATTTGGACAAAGTTTTCTTGGCCGTCTCTCATTCTCTGCTGGTGCTGTGGGGCCTGATCCTCCCTTGCCTGCATTACTTTTCCTCTGTCACGAGTGGAGTTACTTGCTGCCGTGAATGTGAGGAGAAAGATCCTTTTTCTGAGGCTTTGGATGCTTCAAGGTGTTTTCTCTTTCTGCCCACCGTGGGAAGGGGTTGGTTTTCAGTGGATGTCCCCAGACCCACGCGGACTTCTGCGACCGTGGTGGGGCTGCGTGTGCCTCCTGCTGGCTCTCTTTGCTGACCTCCACGCTATCCCACAAGCTCCGGCCGATTCCTCGTGTCGATGTGATGGCTCAACTGCTGTGGGAATCCTGAGACAGTTCATCCAGGCTGAGGAGTCAGTAAAGGTGACTTGCAGGGCAGAAACACCTGACTTCTCAAAAACAAAATAAACATTTGGAACTTTCCTATCTTAAAAATGAAAACATGGATCAGGAACAGTCCTAATTGCAAGCTATAATAAATCCTATCAGATCAGTGGCAGAAAGTATTTCTCCATAAAATTTAGGAACGTAAAGATCATACGGTGAGTAGTAATTTTGCGGCAGCCTTTTAACTGCTGGGAAATATTCGCTTCTCCTAATGTTCAGCAAATGACCTTCCAGCAAATGACTGAGGATATCCCAGCTGTTCTAAAAGGCAGGTTACTAAACCTGAGTATTTCCTGTAGACGGTTCTCTGGAGTCTCTCCTCATGGCCTTGGTGTTCTTTTCAGGTTTACCTGAAAGCCTCCATCGTGGTCAAGGACTGCGTGACGGCAGCTGCCGTCGTGTTCCTGATCGACCGGTTCCTCTACTGGCTCGACGCCTCCAGCCAACTTCTTCGGATCGCCAAGGGGCTGCACAGGCTGCAGCCTGCCGTGCCCATCAGCCCTCAGGTGCTCATCCGCCAAGCTCGCCTCGCCGTCAACGCAGGTACCGCTCTGTTTTCGCCACCCGAGCCCAATTAGGGACTACTTGACTTCGAGGGAAGACTCTTTGTGCCGCGCCGGGGATGACGTGCTGACGGCCCCGGTGCCATCTTTTCAAACACGTTCTGCTCCTGGCCCCCTTGAGCCCTCCCAGCTCCTCTCAGTAGCACAAAAGGGGCCGGTATAAAAGGTTTCAGAGCCAAAAGCAGGAGAGAAAATTGTGAAAGGGTGTGGAAAATACTAATTGGAGCTTTTGTTCCTTAACAAATCTGCCCTGCTGGTTTCAAACAGGGATATCTGAATTGCTATACTTCTGACCAAGGGCCTTTAAAAAAGTAAATTAGAATACCGGCATTTTCTCTGCACTGTCCCAGCTGCTTTTTTTTTCATTATATTTTTTTCAGTGGGACCACTTGACTATACAAACAATGCAGCTTACAACCCCTCAAGGATAGACTGGTTTTTATTTTATTTTTCTTTTAAATTCCATCATTCCTATAACATGGGCAACACCTGAAGGATTTTTAATGTATCTTCTCACTGTCCCATTGGGGAGAAGCAAACAAAGCCAGACAAACTGGCTCCGAAAAGCCCAACGGAGGAGTATGTTATGTGCAGAAAAGAGAGCTCTCTGCTTAGCTGGTTTTGTTTGTGGCCGTGGACTTCTCATGCTCCCGTTGCCATCGTGTCTGGGTACCGATGGGCCGGTTCCGCCAACGCTTCACCGGCTGGAGCCGCCGCCTTGAATTCAGCCAGAGAATCGAGACAAAAATCAAGGTGCAACATCCATCAAGCTCATCAAATTAGACCTTTAGGCATCTCCCACAGCCCATCAAGACTGTGGTGGGATTTCAGGGCTCTGAGGTGCATCTATAGAGCTTCCTGTCCTGGTCAACTCCCCAGTGAGGCCAAAATATTTGGGGCTTTTTTCTGAAGCAAGTGCCTGGCCAGAAATAGCTGCCTCCTCAGCATTCTCGGTAACATTTGTTGTATATGGGAAATAACCCGTGTCGAAGAGATTCCTGAGCATGAGGCAGCATCTGCAGCCTGTCCGTAACTGGAAAGTTTAGTCTGAGCGTGTACACGCTGTCAGTGCTGGGAGGAGAAGTACAATTTGCAGGGCCTTTCACTGATGAGTATTTCTATTCACTTCCTGCCACATGATACAATTTCATAGTCATTTTGTGCCTTTTTTTTTTTAAATCAGGTAAACTTCTAAAAGCTGAATACATCCTAAGCAGCCTTATTAATTCCAATGGAGCAACAGGTACATTTGTATTTCCCTTCTGATTTCATAGTTGCTATTTTGGTGGGATTCTGGTACCAATTTTAACAGTCCCACAAAGTTCAAATACCACCAAGGTGAGCTGAGTCATGTCTCCTTACACCACGTTTCTCTTTTCTTCGCCGTTCTTTGCTAAAATGTGGAAACAGCCAGTTGGTTTTGAAATTTCTGAAATTTGTTCTTGCATATTTTAACTTGGGTGGGAAAATATTATGGCCTGACAGCCATCCTGCTAATTTCTCTGCGCAGAGTTTTAAAATGTGGACCAGTTTCAAGCAATTGGCTGATGTAGAAAACGAAACCTACTAAGGGATGTGTAGTGTTTTAACAGTAAGAATTCATTAATGTTGACAGACATCCATAATTACAATCTAGTTATGATTGTGAGACAATATATTTTAAGGTTTTATAGCTGTTCTCCGTTTTCTTAGCCTTCAGGGAGTATGTGGTCAATGCATTCCAGTTTCCCTGCAGCCATGAAACTTAGAAAATTTAAAAAGCCTGTTGTGGGTTTTGTTGGTTTGTTTCTCACGTGAAAGTGAGTTTCTCATCCAAGAAGGGCCTTCATGCGAGAGGGTGTTAAAAAAAGTACCAGCTCTCTCTGTTCAGGTGGAGCTGGCTACGCAAAACACTGCATTTCATCTCTCTTGGGATTATGCTTAGGACCGCTTAGTGATTTAATTTCCTATTCTATTCTGAAATCCAATATGGAAGTGGCAACAAAAGACTTGGTATGACTAATCGTAGTGCATTAACCTGAAAACTTTTGGTTTAATCTTCATGAGATACTGCTATCTAAAAAGACAGTGTGCTTTGCCAGCGATTAGAAATATTTTGCGCTGCTTTATGTACTGATGACAACAACGATTCACCCTTTCGATTTGTTTTCAGTGGAGCTCTGTACAATATCGATGTACAATGACTTCTTGTTGCTTCGCAGAAGAGATTGTTTTTATGCTCTGTGTAGCTGTCACTCAAGCTACACCCCCATCTAGCTGTCTGCTTACATTCCTTAACCCACTGTCACTTTGTCACCTCTCTGAGTAAGTCCTGACTCAAACCAGCTGAATTCAACGGGGAGAATCCTGACAATTTACTCTGAGGCTCACTGAGTTTCCCCCCTCTTTTCTGCAGGGACCTGGCGATACGCTAAGGAAAGCGATAGGATTCTCGTTCAGTCGGTCTGCTTACAGATCAGAGGACAAATACTGCAAAAGCTTGGTAAGGTGGTGTTTGTTCTAGAAACATCTGCTCAAGGTTTCCCTGTATTTTTTTTTATTTTATTTGCAGTCAAGATTTGAAACGTTATGTTTGGTGTATGTCAGAGTGCCAGAGAAGACGAGTTGTACACCCATCTCTTAGCAGCAAGGACCTAGAGCCATGTACGAAGCAAGAAATTATCATTTTATTACTAATCTGAGCGGAAGTCAAGGAGCATTCTGAATTTTGTTCCTTTTTATCCTGTGCTACTCTACATTTGGAAACGCTTTTTCCAAATTGACTCTTCCCAAAAGCATGCACAGTTTATCACAGCAATTTCTACTCTCCAGAGAAGAAAATCCCTAGTTTTCAGCATGATGGGCTTCTCTATTGAGGGCTTTGTTCAGCCTTAATTTTGTGCTTTTGATATGATCTTTCATCTTCCATGACTGTCAAGCTGAAGTCTTTTATGAGGATAAAATGTGTATTTATGCACAGCCAAAAACTAAAGGAAATTAATAAATGTTCAATGTCACCAAAGGAAAAAAAAATCCAAACAAAAAAAAAACCTCCAGGATATGATTTTATATTAGTTTGAGGGCTCCTGCCTCAAGGATGTGCAAAATAAACGAATTTTTCTGATTTATTTCAGGGATGTGGTATGAGGCAGCAGAGTTGATTTGGGCTTCAGTTGTGGGCTATTTCAGCCTTCCTCAACCAGATAAAAAGGTAACGTTTCCTTTTCCCTCTGGATATCCCGGCTGATCTAATAACCGTGCGAGAGTAGCTTCTGTTTACCTCAGCAAAGTCTTTTAGCAATAATGTTTCCATCACTCACCTCAGACAAGGTTAACACGCAGGACAAATATCCCCACCAAAGTCCGTCTTGCGCGTTGTTTCCGCATGCATGCCCGGTCTTCCAGACACCTTTTTTCCTGCAGGGGAATGAAAGTCATAGTTTTCATTAAAGCGCAATCATTGAAGTGAACCGTCACGCAGGATGTCACAGGGGCCTCTCACAAGGACAGACTAAGCCCCGAATGCAGCCGTAGATTTTCTTTATTTATTAGGATTAAGGCTAATTATTTTCTTCCCCCCCCTTGTAAGTAAGCATGTCTATCTGTGGGGCTGCGCTCCAGTATCTGAACCGTCGCAACGTCTATCGTATTTGTTTGTAACATCATTTTGAGGCTCGGCTGCGCTCATCTTCCCACTGTAGATGAGGCAACAGTCACGCTGTGTGTCCGAAGCTAAACAGGAATGCGAACCTAAGCCCTGCAAGTCCTAAGCTGTAAGAACTTCTGTAACTGTACCCGGGAAAACCAGACCTCGTCACCTCTCCTCTGCTTAAAGCCTGACCTCAGGCTCCGAAGGTTTCTGGGGGAGCGAAGATGTGGGGCTCTGGGTGATATCACGAGCCTTTGCTTTCGTTGTCATGAAAAGCTTCTTGGGAAAACGCGACTCTAAGGAAAATGTGATGCTGCTGAAGTTGAAACCTAGAGCTAGCGGTAGTGGGAAACGCGTACGTACCCACCAAGCTACACTTGCTGCAAGCTGAAATTAATAAAACCCTGCCAGGATGACACCTCTGAGTTTCTCAGCGGTGCTTCTCTTGGAACCTTGTTTGCTTGGTTTGTTCTCTGCTATGTTCTACACAGAACCTCCTTTCTTGTGAGCAGTAAAATTCAAAATACAAGTGGAAAAACACTACGATGATTTTTCATTCCTCTTTCAGGGAATTGCTACTTCCTTGGGTATTATGGCAGACATCTTTGCTTCCATGAATGAGATGGATTATGTGCGGTTTAAAACCAACGCTGAGATTGACCTGGTAAGACTTGATTTGCTGTGTTTGTGTGTAGATTCTTTAGACAGAGTGTATGTTGTTGTCCCAAATTCACTCATGCTTTGTTCTTCCTCTAGTTCCTCTCCCTGTGTTGAAAGGGCTGAGGAATCTTCAGTTGCTCCTGGTAAAAAAGTTCATTTGCACCTAGATGGAGGAACATCTTCCTTCGGAAAATAAAAAGATTAAGAGTACTTACAGAGTATGTGTGTCTGTGTAATAAGTAGATTATTTACAGGGTTGAAAAGTGATAGAGTGATGATAAACCTGAGCTAAAAGGCTCCTACAGAAACAAATCTGGCTGTTGTTGCGCTTTATCAAGCCTCAAAGGTCTCGGAAAGCTCAGGGAACCCACAGCAGACAAGAAACAAATCTCAAGCTGCCTTGCTTCAATCCAATGGGTTGCTTACTGGGTAGACCCATCTTTTTGAAAATAATGCCTTTGGGATGCAGTTTTCCTTCTTGTTTCATTTTTTTTCTTTCGTTACACTAGAGCCTTCTCCGAGAGTGTGGTCATCGCTTGTTGTCAGCTGCTGAGGCCTGCAAACTAGCAGCAGCCTACAGCCAGTACACGCCGCTGTTTGTTCTCACAGCCGTGGTAAGTATTAGCCTTCCTTCAGAAAGTGTTTTTTGTAGAAGAAAAGAGTCCAGGCTATGAAATCTGGCTCTAATCCAGCTTTCAAACATTGTGTCACAGGGGGTATTGTGCCTGTGTTGTGGGTATGACGCCGTACGCTGCTCTGAACTCCAAGCTGAGCAGATGGGCAGAAAGCAGTATCGGTCCACAGAGCTAGGATGGGCTTTCAAGCCTGTCTGGGAATGCTGCTTCTCCTGTAACTACAGCTGAATTTTAAAGGAGAAAGGTTATTTCCTCCAGGAGACACAGCAGCCCGCAGTTACACCTGACATCTCCTTCAAATTGTATAAGGGAAAGAAACAAGAGTTTCTCCTTCCTTTATTTACCTCTGATGGAGATCCAGGTTTTGAATTCCTTCCTTCCTCTTTCATCCCTTCCCAGAACATCCGTGGCGTGTGTTTGCTGTCTTATAGTCACTCCAAAGACTGTCCCAAGGAAAAGAGAAAATTCTACTTGTCCCAAGCCAAAGAATCCTTCGAGATCGGCCTCCTCACCAAGAACGAGAAGAGTCCCGTCACCAGCAAGCAGGAGCTGCACAGTTTTATTAAAGCTGCTTTCTGCCTCGCCACCGTGCACCGATAGCTCTTTGGGGAGAGCGAGAAGCTCCGTGAGGTGAGGCAGCTGTGTCGAGAAGCCCTGGGAAAACTGCATTCCTACAGCGCTTCATTTACAGAAGAGGAAGAGAAAGGAAAGCTCGCTGAGGAGATCATGGCTCTGATTGCGACAGTCAAGAAGCACCTGCAAGTGGAAAGCTTCCCGAATTCTGATGCCAGCTCTTACGTTCCAGACAGTTATAAAGGCACGGTGGAAAAATCTATCCTGCAAGGCAAAGCCGACTTTGAGAAAATCCTTGCCATGCATTCTCAGCATCATCTGTCAGTGTGTGAGGTGTTTGAAAATACTTGCAGGATCCATAAAACCACGCCAGGAGAAAGCCAAGGGGGAGCTTGTATCACAGCCTTAAGAACAGAAACCAAGACAGCGGACACTGCATGTACTACTGAGGAAATAGCGTACCGGAGGAAAATGCAGGATTCACAGAGCAGCTCAGAGAAACTCAGTGGCCAGAGGAATAAATACATGGGTTCCGACGTGATGAAAATTTCATTCGATGAGGAGACTGAGCCATTAGAAATAATCAACGATGAAACCGGCATTTTCAGCAGACGGCAAAATAGGAGTCAAAGCACTACTTCAGAGAGCTCTTGGTGCAAGCTCTCAAAATCGAGTTACTCTTCCAGCTGGGAGGAACTGACCGGTAACAGCAGCCAAGAGTCTTCTGGGAAAGTGCAGCAGCAGGAAAAGGCCTCGCTGGAAGAGTTGTGTTGCACAACAGAATCTGATGAAAACGGTCAAGCTGCAGACTTGCGCTTGTTGACTGGCAGAGCCCAGCATCGTTCTCCTCGAGAGCCCCTGCAGAGCTGTCGGGGATCTCCTCAACCTTCCTCACAAGTAGGTACGCATGTAGCTGGGAGGCTGGTAGAGAAGACGTCTCTTTGTGGAGAAGAGCTGCGGGAGGGAGGACACCGTGCAAACAGCTCTTCAGAAAAAAATGCAAGGGAGGTGACCAAGGTGGTTCCTTCCCTCTCCACCCCTCGCTCTGTTCCTACCAGGCCTGAGGAGGAGGAGGAGGAAGAGAAGTCCTCCTCGGGCTGCAGGACCAAGGACAGCGGCGGGGAGGGCGGCAGTGGCGTCCCCGCGCCTCGGCCCCGCAGCCCCTTTGTGTGGGTCCCCCCAGAAGGAGAAACTGCAGAGAGCACAGAGGATCCCTCGTTTGAGGCACGTCCCCCCACAAGTGAGGGCGTTTCTGTTCTAGCCACGAGCATGGAGATGAAAATGGCCACAGACTCCTCTGTGCGTGACCAGCTGGGGAAATCTGCCCTGGTGGGAAACGGATCTCGCGTCGTGCCTGAAGTTGACACCCAAGCAGAAACAATAGATGATACTGAATTTGATTTCGTTGCTATTGGAGACTTTATAAGCAATGATCCTATGGCGTGTGTTCCAAAGGCTCAGTCAGCTCCCCACGCACCAACAGCTTTGCCCTCGGGCAGAAGAACATCCATAACCGAGCACTTTGACTGTGCCACTACTGAAGAAGATGAAGAAAAGTCTCAGGACATGGTGAGCAGCAAGAGACAATCCAGTTCGTCTCTGAGTTTGTGGTGCAAATCAGCACGGACACGCAGCAGTTCCCCTGAAGGTCTGTTTCAGAACCCAAGGCAAAGTGGGTTTGTCTTCATGCCTGAGAGAACGAAGGAAGAAATCCTCTACGCTCGATTTCTGAGGGAAGATGATTACCTGCAGCTTCTGGCAGGGGTTGCGCATAACTGGCTTGTCCAGAGACTGGCACCTACTGGAATTTTTAAGGCTAAACAGCTGCGTAAAGAATACTGTAAGTTTCCCCAATTTTTTTGTCCTTAATGTAAAATGTCCAACTCTGCACCTTGATACCTCTTGACATATATTTTATAGTGCCCTACTTTGCTTTCAGAGAAGCTTGGGTGTCTTCTCTCTGGGTGCTGGTTATTTCATCCCTCAGCGCAGGCTTAGAGCAATCCTGTGGAATTGTCCATTCTACTCGTGATGTTTTCTTATTTTGTAGCTGCTCTTCTTTTAAAATACTCAAAGAAATCGGGCCTCTGGACAGGCCAAGAAACAGCCGTATTCATTGGGGACTACCTGAACGTGGCAAAGGAGGGCAAACAGAGAAGTGCATTTTGGATACACTTCCTGCACCAAGAAGAAAGCCTGGGAAGGTATGGACCCAAACAATTCCTGAAACAAAATGTTCATCTGTGCTACTTTGGTGTGAAAGCGAATGACAACTGTCTGTTTCAACCTAGTTTAAATTTGGTCAGATTTTGACGGCTTTTCTGCAGCGAGGATGTTTTTCAGCTTTCCCAAATCTCTCAGGCATTTGGGCAATATTGCCCATTACTCCTTGTAACTGCCTGCTTTTTAATTTCTGGGAAGAAAAAGCTACTTCACTGGTGTCTTCTAACAGCCACGTTAGTGTTCATTTGCTCACGACAGCCCTTAGGCCTGACTTCACTTTAGTCTGTGCCACGATAGTCTCATGGGAGCTGAAATGTTGCTTCCTTTTTATTTGACCTCTAGCTTTACGTTAGGGAATTAGCAGTGTAAATATATATCTATATTGATATATATATATATATATTTTGTTTCAATGGCTTTAATTTGAGCAGCATGTTTATGCAAGGGGTGCACCTGCTCTGAAGGCAGGACTAAAATCATCTATTTGCTTCATAAAAGCCTCTGCACCAGGAGATTTTGGCTTTTTATTAGAAGTAGCTTTTGAATTATTATGGGTTAAGAGCAATATTTTAAGTACCTCTGAGCCGAGTCTCCCTTCAGTGTCAAGACAAGTTGACTTGAAACGTTGTGGTATTATGAAAAGGCCCATCTCAGGATTTGCTGGATCACCTGTAAAAGCTATAAAAAGAAAAAAACCACACAACTTGAATCACTGACATTTGAAAGGCATCACCAACAGCTGGCTTTGCTTCTGAACAGCCAAGCTCTGCTTTGTCCCGATATTTCTGTATCACAAGCCGGGCTTCATGGCTACGCCAAACATTTCTTTTTGTTTAGGTACATTGGGAAAGAATATAAAGAAGAAAAGGGACTTCTCCACCATTTCAGTGACGTGGAACGGCAAATGACTGCCCAGTATTACGTGACGGAATTCAACAAGAGGCTGTATGAGCAGAAGGTCCCTACTCAAATCTTTTACATCCCCTCTGCAGTACTCCTGGTAAGTGCTGTCTTCTAAGCAATACAAAAGAA